TACAAATATTACTGCTGTCGGTGGAGATAGCTCAAAACCTTCAACAAATGCACGTGTCTAGACGCTGCAAGTCCACTGTATTCCGCCAACTCTAGTGATGTTATAAAATGGTATATATAAATATTTGACATTAAAATCTCTCGCGACCCCAGAAGTTTGCTACGCGACCCCATTTAGGGTCGCGACCCATAGTTTAAGAAGCCCTGCTCTAGAGTACTAATAAATTTTTTCAGATTTTTTAAATAATAACAACATTGAATAATCTCACCCCCTGTGGCACTAATAAAATCTACTATGCCGACGGAGGATTAACAAGAATTGAAAAAAAGAAATTCATTTTCATAACACGAATACGCAACAATTTGGATAATATCAATTATGTTTGAACTGTAAGTTCTAGAATTGCATCATAGTCGCATTAATTGCATACTTAAAAACTTTATATTACAATTAGAATACACGTAAAAACCTAATAAGTTACAATTTAATTCAATATCACATATAAGAATTTGAAAGAGACCATTACTTCTATAACTGTAAATTACATGATTATTTACATTTCATAAGAGTATTGTAATTACTAGCATATTACATAAATATATCGCACGTAGTTCTTAAACTTTCAAAAACACAATAAAAACCAATACATAAATTCAACAACGGACTTAAAAGTAAATGAAAACAACTAGCAACTATGGATCATTTGAAACAGTATCTACTGCTTCGTAAAAACCCACGTATCAACCCTCTTTGCTAATCTATATCACATACCCATAAATATTCCAGTTCTGTTAAATCAAACGTAATACATACTTACGTTTACGGAATGAAAAACAAAATAATTAATAAACTAAATTACAGATCAACGCATAACGGAAAACTTTTAAGTTAAAACAAAAAACGAAAACAATGCGCGAAACAAATTGAAACATCGAGGAAACGTGATTGATTATCTAAAAAGAAAAAAAGAGAAAAAAAATTCGATCCTCGAAAAATATCCTTGTATTGCGAAAGAAAAATTTCGAAAAGAAAACAACAAAATAACGAGAAGAAAATCTGATTGGTACTATAAAAAGTAGGAGGAAAAAAAAGAAAACAAAAACTAGTGTTAAACAGGATAGAAAGAGAGAGAGGGAGTGTGCTCCTCTCGTTTAGTAAGAAAAATAAAAAAAATAAAAACAAAAAAAAAGATAAAAAAATAAGAAGAAGAAGAAGAGAAGCAACGATGGAAGGTGGGTTGAGGGGGTTGTTGAGATCTCCGTGGTCTGCTACATCTATTTATAGCGTACACCATGCTAATGCATATGTGCCCATGCTTCAACGTTAAGCCTTCTTCTTCTCGTCGAGTATAACGGGCTTTTACGTGTTGCACTGAATATTCCCCGCAACGTGAACGCGTGTGCGTACCACTTTTTTTTTCTTTTCTTCTTTCCTTTTATTGTTCTCTTTCTCTCTTACTATCATCTTTTCCTACACCTTCTTCTTATACTATTTTTTCTATATATATATATAAATAAATGCGTGTACATCATACTTTTTTTCGTTTACCTTCTTACGTTTCGAAACGCACGTGCTTGTATCTCGTATGCGCATGCGTTAACATCACCACCACCATCATCACCCTGCCCATCACTCGCCCCACCTTTGCACCTTCAAGCGTGCAAAATTCGATTGCAAGAATTGACGACGTTTACACGTTTCACGCTTTTCCATCGTCGTAGAATTTTTACTCAAAAGGATTATATATATATATATATATATATATATATGTTACCGTCACAGCCGGAAATCCGCCATTGCTAGTAATTCCTCGGCATTCTCATCAATGCGAAAAGAATTCCGATGAAGTCGGAAATAAAAGAATTCTTGCAGTTTTTCCTAAGTATTGAACATAATACTTTGATATTCTATAAAATAACAAATTACTGTTTAAACAACGTTGAAAAGAATACATTCTCGGGCACAGACACACACAGCCATACGCAACCTTTTCCCCCCAAAAACTTCTCAAAGAAATATCAGAGAATGTGTGCAATGCTGTAAATTGTGCATGTTTGCAATTTTTTTGAAAAGTTTTGGTAAATATTTTTTATACTAAAAGTGAATAAATTTTAATGAAACTTATATTACATTAAAGTACACTCTTTAGTCTACGCGTAGAATACTTTGTTGAGTTATAAATTGATCTGCAAAGGTTCAAAAAATGTCAGAGAATGCAATGCTGTAAATTGTGCATCGTTGCAATTTCTTTGAAAAGTTCTGGTAAATATTTTTTATTATTTATTTTAATTCTCTTTACATTGATGAGAATGCCGAGGAATTACCAGCAATGGCGGATTTTAAGCTATGACGGTAACATATATATATATATATATATATATATTTCTTCTAATATTTTGTTTTTCCCTTATTGATTTATTTAACGTAATTAACATTTCTATCGGAACGACGACAATAATTTTATACGATTGTTGCATTGATAATTAGATTATTTTTTTTTCAATATTTAATTTAAAAAAATTGTACAATTTTTTATTTAATATTTCTATAAGTTTAAATTCTTCTTCTTCTTCTACTATATTGTAAGAATAAATATGTTTGTAAAGTGTGATAACGTAATAAATATTCGTAGAATAATGTAAGAGGGGGAAATAAAGTTCCCATTTATGTTCTAATTCTATCTCGTTCGATTAATTTCAATATTAACAAAAATAGTTCATTAATAGACAGGGACTAGTATTGAAAGCATATTCTCTCGTAAATGTTATTAAAAAAAAGGTTTTCCTTTCTTTTTTTTTTTTTTTTC